ACCTCTCCCCCTCTTCCACGCTCGTCTCGTCTGCTTGTCGGCCCAGGGATCCTTCGTTAGACCATACGCTCTCACGCACACAACGCACAACACGCGGCACGCGCACTCGTGCTCTTGGGAGTTAGGCGCACCTGGGACGACAAGTCGTTTCATGACCTCTTCGAAGGGGAGCGTGCACACGTCCTCCCGCTTGACCAGGTTGACGATCTTGTGGGTCAAATCGACCTTCCTTTGGAAGCTCCCCCAAGCGTTGGCGTAGGCGGGAGCCGGTTGCAGCAGCTTGTAGTAGCCCTGGAGATATGATAAACACCCAGGCGATGCACACGATGAGAGTGAGAACGAGCGCAGTCGACCAGGTGGACCAGCAGCTACTCACCTGCTGTGTTTCTACCATCACCGCTGCTTCGGGACCGTCGTAGTGCACTGTCCACCGTTCAATAGCACGAAGCAACACCTGTGTGTGTGTGTGTGTGTGAGAGAGAGAGAGAGAGAACGTTGAGTGGCGTGCATGTCGTGGTATCGTCCCGTGTGCATAATCGTACCAGCTTGGACGAGCGCTGGCTGCCCTCTTCGCCGAGGTCGGACCCGACGTAGCCATCGGCGGAGACGTGGGCCAGGGCGAGTTCACCGACCTCGTCGAGACTGCTGACTCTCTCCCTCATCTTCTTTTTGTCCTGGATCATGACGAAGAAGGAGAACCCGTCCAAGGTACGCTGTGCCTTGTCGGAATCGTCAGCACCCTCGAATCGGCCAATCTTATGCACATCGAGTTCTCGAATGCGCATCCGCGGAGCCGTGGATGTCTTAGCTTTGGCTGCGGGGGCTGCCTTCTTGCTTTTCTCTTTGGCTGCAGTGCCCTGCACAAAGAGCTTGAAGTCATTTCACCAAATCAATTGAAAAAAGAGGAATTGGACGAACATTTGTGAAGAACGCTTTGATCGATCCTTGAGACTTCTTGTCCTCCTCCTTCTGTGCCACCCGCCCTGACCGCCTCATCCTTACGAAACTATCGATCTCTCCGTTCAATTCCGCATGTCGTTTGTGTTGGTTTTTGGCGGGAGACACTTGGCCCTGAAAAAAGTCTGAGAAGAAAAGAAAATGACGAGAAAACTCAGAAAGAAAGATGAAGAGGGAGCACGATGAGCTCGCTGAGGACACAGCAGACCTTACTCAGGTCTCAAGCGAGGGATCGCGTCTGAAAGGACCGGATGCCTATCGTAACAAGACCATCCTTGCCCCGATGGTTCGCGTGGTACGGCTCCCTTGTCGAGCATTTATGAATTCGACCACAGTGTTCAATCAAAGTCTCGATCAGGGTACCTTGCCCATGCGCCTGCTGGCCCTGGAGTACGGTGCCGACATCGTCTACTCCGAGGAGATAATTGCCAAGAAGTTCGCCAAGTGCCTGCGAACCGTTGACGGTACGTGCCCCACCGCGCTCCGTGCGTGTGTGTGGCTTGGCGTGCTAACAGAACCACATACCCAGAGAAGAGCAAGCGGGTGGAGTTCGTATTGCCCGATCATAAGAAGAAGAACGTCGTCTTCTCCACATGTGCCGCTGAT